GGGGGGGGGGGAATGATGAGCTCATCTCTTACGTCCAGACACTCCTCACTCGAGGCATAAGGCTTGGGTGACGGAACGGGCAAAGGTGAGACTCCAGTCTGACTCGAGGGCCAGTCCACATGGCAGGAGCAAAGTGGGCGCAAAAAGTTCGCAACTCATGTAGGCGGTAGGAAAAACAAAGTGTTCCATTAGCTTTCAAAAACAGCTCCAAAACTGAAGGGAAACGTGTTGCAGTTTGCATGAAAGCATAAAAGGTCAACTTCTCACATCATAGTATTGAATTCTAACTATAAAACACAAAGCATATCTTGCATTTTTAATTAACAGCAATAAAATGAAAATTATATCTTAACGAGTACCTAGTAAGGGAACTAAAATTACACAAGTTCTGAAGAGCATTTTTGTTCCAAAATCGCTTCCATTTACCCAAAACCTGCCAAAAACCACTTGAGCTTTCCAAAAAGTGATCGAATTTTCAACGAAGTCTTCCTTTCAGAATTCCTTGGATCGAGCGGTGAGTTCAAAGTCTCACATGGGTAGACAAGGCCGCTCTACAGGCCTTTTTATTGAATCAAAGTTTTTTCTTAGGTTTTGACTCCTCTCATTTTTTTTATTATCTTCAGTCTAAGCTTGATACATAGTAGAATATGCAATCTGTGGCTCTGTCATTTGTGTGAACAAATTAAACGAGCATCTTTTAATCTACAGCTATTGCTTAGATTCTCTTTGGGTGAAATTGCCAAGAATTCATCAGTGTGTCTTGCATTTGTCCTCTGACTCTCCTTGCACAGACATGAAGGTGAGCTCTTGGGTGACTTATTCACTGAAGGTCATCAAGGTCTTGGCTGTCGCGAAAGAATAGCAGGTCTGCTGTATGGATGCCTTTCTTAGTAAAACGCTGGTCAACACCTGAAATTCTCAGACCTCGCCGTGGAGGTAGTCGACCCTCTAAGCCGTATGCGCAAGTTAGTTAAAAGCAAACTTCGGCGTTTTTTGCTGCGCAATCCATAATCTGAGGTCTGACCCACCGCTCCGGCCTATGAGAAGTTCATGACCTAGCTGGATGAGGGGCGTTTTTTGATGCAATGCGTAAAGGATGCCTTTGAGACTGGTAGGAGCTGTCTGTACTACTTCAATGCCAGTAGAGGGATTGGGAGACACAGCATTTATCAACTTTGTTTGACTGGATGGAAGGAAAATGCTTATATAATGATTTACAACGTATGATTTGATGAGAAAGCGACAGCTTCCCTTATCAGCCACTTCCTTGTGGAGGGGATGTGGTGTTAACAGGGGAAGCTGCATTCGCAAAGAGGGCCGTGTGGTTGGAGCGTTCACATCATGCCGCCACACAGCATGGGAAGCAAAGTGGGGTAGCAAGCAGTTCACTTTGAGGACGATGAGAAAATTTCGTAAAAAGGAAGAAAAGGAATGATCTTATTTTTCGGATGTACTAATTAAGCACTGTTGTCCATCAATGCGAAGTTAGAAAATTTGCTATGCTTTCCTCCCAATAAACGAGGAGAAAGGTGAGGTGTGAAGAACCAATTTCGGTTAAAATGAGGTGGTCAAGTTGAGCAGATGAGTGTCACAGAGCGCAAAACAAAAATAATACAAAATATGTGGAAGCAAATTTTAGAAAAGAAAACAAATGGTAATATGTGAATGTCCTTGCTGTTGCTGTTGTTGCGTGTCTAAGTCAACTCATCCACATGAGCCACGACTTACCACTTTTGCTTGAGAGTTGTATTGCCACATTTCCCAAACTCAAGGGAGAGTAAAGTGGTGTGTGTGAAAACTAAAAAGGTTCGCCTCCACTTCACATTCCTCCTCCCTCCCCCCCCGCCTTAGGGGGAGGAGGCGTGCCAAGTGGGAATTTTCACCACTCTGAGCACCCGGTCGACGGGAGACGTCTGGATGGCTCATTTGCTTTAACCTGACTCGTGTACTCGTGTCGTTAATTTTGACGACTTCAGCGTTTGAAGAAGGGTAATGCGTTTTTTACTCACTAAGGCATTCCAACAAAAGCTATGTTATTTGTGGGAAGAAGTTATTCAAATTAATAATCCATAGAACGCAAGGTAAACTACCGTAGAAACATTTTCCTTGTTTCCTCTTTCCGCCAATTTCTTAAAGCTTTAATGTGAGGGCCGTTTATTTATCCCCTAAAAACATCCTCATTCCCAACACACATTACAATTTATTCTTCACAACTGAAACAAAAAATTTTATGTGGAGTTGCTTTACAGTATAAATGCCAGCCGATTTTATGGCCCCGTAAGTAGGGGAAACAAACGCCGCCTCCTCTGTTTCATATACCAAAAAAGCATACACACACACACATGCATATTTTCACTATCAGCCATTAGCGAGGGACAATTTATTTGCCTGCCAGCTCACCAAAACGGCTCACTCGGAATTTGCAGTGGCAACAAAGGCAATGAAAGGTGAATTACTGTCTTGCATTTCTCACAGTAGACTGAGAGGTCTGCGAGGCGGGGCAGAGAAAAAACTCCTCCGTAAGCGTGATTAAAGGTTATTTTCAGATCGGAAGAGACGCTTCGCCTTTAAGATTGCTAGAGGTATTTTTAGTTTTGGCTAATTTAATGGGTCAAAAAACGGGGGATCAAACAGTCGGAAGTAAGGTAAATGATCAGTCTGGTTTCCCCATTTCGATCCCAACTGAGCCCTCCCATGGACGTTGGGCAGAAGGACCACCTTCTCTCCTTTCCTTAACAACATTTTCTTCTATTTTCGCTTTGCTTTGTTTCGATTCGAATTTTTGCTTCTCTAAACATATTCTGCACATTCCTCGTGATTCTGTTACGTCAAAAGGGATGAGCAATTAGTGTTCGTGGCACTTCCCTTACCCATAGCGTCTCTTTGATCAGGCGACGTGAAGCTCAACAAATGGCGAGAGTTCGTTGAAAAATGAACAACGACTCCTGTCAATGATAAGTGCACTTTCCGGAAAACAATTAGTGCTCATCTTACAGGTTTATATGGTTTTGCCAGTACCACCTTAATTTTTATTTTTGTTCCACTCTTCCAAAATTGCATGCATTTTTTTTATGAAACAAAGGAAAGAGTGTGTGCAGGTATTTACAATAGGCAACAATTCGCTGATAAAAGAAGTAGACAAAAGTGAGACCCCTGAGGCCGCAAACTTATTGTCGCATAGACTAAGCACTGCAGAATTGTCGGTGGAACAGGAATTGCGATAAGGACGCAAATCGAACTGACGTGTGATTTTGACAAGTGGTATCCGAAAAAGGTCAGCCGTACTTATTTCCACCACCACTGCCCCAAATTAGGGACGAAACAGCAAACAGCAAGTGAAAGCGTTTATTCGAATCGAAACAATCCTTTTCAATTTTTAATGCGATAAATTGGCAACTAACTCTTGATGACTCCCAAGGTGAAAGGGGTTGTAGAGAGTCCACACAAGTGCCTCCAAATAACGGGACACTGGTTTATTCCACCAAAATATGTTTCGGCATCTGTCTCCGTGTCACACATCACGTTACAAGCAATTGAAAGTCAATATGAGACGACACTTTGATTGAGGCCGTTGAACTCGTGTAACAAGTCAAGACCCCGCCAGCATTGAATCCTTTCTGTGTGCTCTTCGCCCCCCTCCCCCATTAACTTCCCAAGCTCTGTCAAGTATTCACCATTTCATGACCTTATTTTTGCCCTTCTGAGACAGAGGGAGGGAGAGGGAAAGGAAGCTGTGAAAGCATTAAGTGAGACAGCAGAATGGGAGATCGTCTAACGCTTAAATGTGCAAATAAACTTATCAATTTGTCACTTCTTCATAACTCAATACATAACTAAACCAAATTTTCTGGAATTAGTCTGATTTGCAAAAAAAATTTGCATTAAAGAGAAGGCAAGAAGAAAATTTGCATGAGATGTGACAGTGAGGAAGTACTTTTGCATAGCATAATAAATAATATGCATAGTGAAAACCTACATGAAGGAGTTACAAACGCCAGTGAGATTATTTCGTTAATGAGGCATAACTTGGTACCATCAGAAGTCGCTTGCCCTGCAGTTGACTCGTTCCACTTTCCAAGTCCAATCGCCTTGCAGTTAGTCGATGCAAGTGGCCAATCAAAGGTCGATCCTATTCGAATGGAGGCTGGAGAGCAAAGCCCTTTATTGTGGTACATTTTAAGCTAATCCGCAATAGTTTCTTCATCATCCACCCACTTCCCAGATCATGGACGAATGCGGACACATCTGCATTGGCTTAATTGAACAACTTAAGCAGTGCTACTTTGGCTTTGAGCACACCAATGGGACATTTCTCTCAAATTAAAGGCTGCAGAGTCGTCATGTGCCATCTGTCGAAAATACTCAGCTTCTTATTTTGGAATATCTTAAGGATGGGCAAAGGTAATGAAGGATCGGACTTCTAACCAATCACGAGCTTAGATCTGGGCGCCGTGCTAAGGACCTGCACGTCAACGTGTGGAGCAGTACTTAGTAGTAAAAAATTCTAGCAAAAGGGAGAAGAAGTTGTTAAGAGAAAAATCTTCCTAATCCTAGTTTACGAATTTGTAAGTAGGTAATGGTTATAGGGTAAGCATAGAAACCCGCAAAAGAGTTACTTGTGCTTTGTCTATGCTTTTGAAGGTTATGAAATCGGTTGGAACAATAAAACGCAAAAGGAAGAAGCGCTCACGAAATTTGCAAACTCTGCCAGCGGGTTTGTATGTTGTTGGGTTGCCAAAGTGTTTGCCAATTTTGTGGTCTATAAAGTAGTCCAAA